AATAAAATAAAACAATTTAAAATCACACAATCTAATAATGTTTCTAGAATTTCTGGTAAATACTTTAAAATAAACAGTGTATTAATTCACTTACAATGAAGAACTGTTGGTCAAATAATCCAAGACCTCTTGCAGTTTGGCTGATGAAGAAAATTCTATGTTTTGTGGAAGCTGACTACAAGCCAAACAGTTCTCCTGTGAAGTTGCAAATGGAGTAATCAGTAACTTTGTTATTTAAGTGGTATAATTCTAATTAGCACACACACACACACCCAAAAAAACCACATGAAATATACAAGAGAAATTTCTGCAAATGAAGATCTTTTGTTTTGTTCACCTTTTCACAATGCCATGCCAAGAAATAAAATAAAAAAACCCAGGCAGCTACATCTTTAAAAATGTGTCTCATGACTTTTTGAGTTAAACTAACAAGGATATATTCTAGATTTTAACTTTGTCAACAAGGTGGGAAAGAGATTGCTTTTGAAGTTCAAAGATTACCTACTACATATGAAATAAATTGGCAACATATGCATTTGGGGGGGGGGGGAGGCATGGCCTAGAGTCTCAGATTTGGGGTGATAAAAAAAACAAACACACACACACACACACACACACAGTGAATAGTTGATGTGAGATGTGTGTTACATGAGCAATCGTTATTTAAAGTAAAAGAAAGTCTGACAGTTGCTACTTGACTCTCTGTGACATAAAAGACTTATGAGAACTAATTGAAAAATCTAGCAAGACAATTTGGCATTAAGTGCCACATAGGCTGTCTGAAATAATTCATCCTGAATTATCTGAGTTTTGTTCACAGATTTTCAATATGAAAACAAATATTCTTCTTTTTATAATAAGAAATAAATAAATACATTGGAAGTCTAAAGTAAAAATGCCCCACATATGGTTTACTTTCAAAACCTCACCCATGTTTGAGCAAGAACTGAATATTCTTGTAATAATTATTTTTAACAATTGTGGTTCCCATCAAAAAGTCCAGTTTTTCTTCTTTAATTTTTTGGGAAAAAGTCCAAGGAATGTCAAGAACAAATATGATTTTTTTTCGCAGCACCACTAACCTTCTTCTCAGCTTCAAAAGTGTATGTATAGAGACCATCTACATCATTAAACACCAAATAGTTGTTCAGAGGCATATAAGCACTGAAATGGGAAAAAACAACCTCTTAGCCTTTATAAGAAACAAATTTGAAAAAAAAAATTAATTAGAAAGCAAATTACCTTGTGGCTATTTTAAAGACTTCTGTGGCACATATAGCTACATGGAAAAAGAGAGAGGTGAAAGACCAGAACTATTTAAACATTAAAGAAGGGAAGGTGATAATCAGGTATCAGATTAACAGAAACATGCACAATGAACATTTCAAGATGCCTAAAGCTTGGATATCAGCAAATGTTGCTATGCATGAAACCTGGATTTCACTTTAAACACTGGATCATAGTCCATTCTCTTGAAAACTTACTCTGTATCAGATATTGAATTAGATGTCAGCAGAATCTGAATCCCCATACCGATGGAATCTAGCTTGCTTAAACTATCCATTTACATGTGCTTTTCTGAGGCCTAAATGGTGAAGTCTCAAATAGAAGAGATTCTCTGAATCTCTTTGGTAATTCAACCACTCAACAGTAATTTAGGTTTTACTGATTTAATGGGTTTAGTATACCTGGAACTAACAACTGGATTTAGGCCTAAAGCTTGAACACTTAGGATATTAGCATCCCAGCTGCAACATTTCCATTCTAGCAGCCTAATTTTAACATTGTTTCTTCAGAAATAAATTCCATTAATGTCAGTGTGATTTACTTCTGATGAAATCTGCATAAGACTACAATTGAAAGCTCAGATCCTATATGTGTTGTCTAAGCATAGGTGCATCAACAGTGTTTTGTAACTTGTTTTCTCTTATATACACACACATATTCAAGTCAAACATAAAAGCACCAAAACACCCTTTCAAAGCAAGGATCTCTAGCTCAATTGTTAAACATGTAACTAGAACCATAACTCAGAGCATTACTGTACCTGCAATCACAGCATTTGTAGAAGCTACTGCTGGAATGATTCGCTTTACAACCCCTGCATTGAGACAAAAAATGCCACTCACCATTACACTATTGCTATGTGTATTTAACAATAACTGGAAAGATAGCTGTAATGACTTAATCAAAATCCACAGATGTAATATCAACAGAATCTTGAGGTAGTTATTTATTTATTTATCACACCAGGAGCGAACCAAGGGTACAGTTGTAATATATATATATATATATTTTAAAAACCCACAGAGTTTGAAAACTTGGAATTATATTAAATGTCCTTTGACCAGAAGCTGGCCACTTGGAGTGCCTCTGGTGCTGCTATAAGAAGGTCCTCCATTGTGCATGTGGCAGGGCTCAGACTGCATTGTAATAGGTGGTCTGTGGTTTGCTCTTCACCAGAAGTGACCAGAAGCATCTTGAGATAGATAAAACTCTGGTTAGATCTGGCACAGCTCTTATGTCAAGTGCGGAAACTAAAAGCTTAATTTGTTTGCCACCAGTTTTTCAGAGGACAATTATATGATTTGAATAGACAGCTGTTCATGAATTTTACCTTGTGTGAGCCTATAAGTTACACCTTTGATATTAAACTGTGATGCTCTTTCTAATGACTTTTCAAAAATCCACTGAATGTGTTCTGGGTCATCTCCATCCAGAGAAACACCTTCTGCAAGAAAAGGTATAGCTAATATTAGTCCTTTACACCTGTAATTTATCATGGTTCATAAATCACATATCCTTGGAGTCTAACAAGATAACATTTACAGGATAATTATTTATGTATTTGATTGAATGTATATCTCACTTTTCTAGCAAAATGGGACTCAAAGGCATGGTTTATTAAGAACTGCAATTTCTGCTACAAACACAATTTAGAGAATCAGGACATCACAACATGATGATGGAGTTCTATTAATTACATTTAGGTAAAATCATGCAAGGTAAGTAAAAGGCACAGGACAAGGTTTTTACATTATTCAAATTTATATTTTGATTGAAATGTAAAGAATTTACGATTACCTCCAAAAGGTTGATCCTTGGGCCACTGCAATATCCTGACATACTCAATACAGTGTTCTGGTAATCGAGGCATTGAAGCAATTGTACACATGGGAAAATTGACCTGATGGAGAGAAATTCTGAAATGATTTATCATGCCTTTGAACAGAGGAGAAACCCACCTGTGTCAGCTCAATTCTTTTTAGCTACCTGTGGTGGATAAAGCTCAAGTGTACACTCAATACAAGCTGTCATCCCAGGAATGATCACACGAGCATTTCCTTTAAAGCCTTCTGTTCCACCATCAATCAGCGGTATAATGGAACTCGGATCCAACACCCCATCTTCATAGTTTAAAAGTGAAATCTACAGAGTAAAGTAGAATTTACTACATTAGGATCACTCCTCCACTTAGCTCCTTGTCTTAATTTCTATACAGGCATACTCTGCATGACAAACATACAATTTACAAATATTACAAACGGGTGAGACAACAGGAAGTGAGAGAAATCTATCCCTAGGAAGGAAAAATCAGAGGTTGTGAGGTTTGAGACACACACACACACACACACACAATTTTCCTAGTTTCCAACAAACCTCACAACCTCTGAGGATGTTTGCCACAGAAGCAGGCGAAACATCAGGAGAGAATGCTTCTAGAACATGGCCATACAGCCCAAAAAACCTACAACAACCCAGTGATTCTGGCCATGAAAGAGCTTCAACAAAACCTACAGAACCTATTGTAACCCAGGGACAGCCTGTACTGAATGTTCAGGCCTTGTTTCAATTGTCTGAAATAACTGTAGCAATAACTATGCCTAATTCTGTTGCAGAAGTTGCCCTTTTGTATACCAAATTGGTAAAGGAATTTATTGTGGCTGTAGAGTATATGGCAGATATACGTAGTGGAGATCTACCAAGACATTTTAGGTATGTTATTGACTGACAAAACAGATTCCTTTGAAATGGCACAGTATGCCAAAAGATGTATTAGGGATTATTTTCAGGGGATGTCTTTTTCCTCAAATTGATATATTTTGTTTAATTGTAACTAGACTTATTTTTGAAGTAGGGCTTATATTTTGAGCATCCTTAAAAATTGTGCTAGGGCTTATTTTCAGGGTAGGTCTAATTTTCGGGGAAACAGGGTAGTAATCCACATGGAAGTCCAGCCTCCAATACTCTTAACAAAATTTTAATTGAGATATTATAAACTTTTGCCTACAGCTTCTGAAAGGTTGTGAAAGAAAGGGAGGAATGTAGAAAAACATCTGAAAAAACCCCAACTATCCTCTTTCTTTTCTCCTCTTGACCCAAGGCAAATTACATATGCTGTGAAAAATATATAGATGGCATTTCATATCCTGATTAGTTAATAATAAAGTGGAATTCTCATATTTTGCGAATACTGAGTAACTTTACTATTTAATTATCACAAATATTTACCAGCATGCCATTTATCCATCTTCTTGCAATTATTGAATCCAAGCCACATACAATGATATGAAATTCTAGAAGAAAAGATATGAATGTTGTTATATTGATATAATACTTACGCCACCATCCAATGTTGTTAGGCTATTGTCCTGCTGGTTTTATAAAGAAACTACACTTTATAAACTGAGAGTTCTGTTCATAATATTATATTACTTTTTCAGTAGATAAAGCCAACACGTGCCTCTCCAGAACTTTTGCCACTACATTTTTCATAATCCCTCACCATTGGCTATGCTGGCTAGAATTTAGGAAAGTTGTAGAAATTTTGAACAGGGCTTCTTAAACTTTTTCTACTCACGACCCTTTTCCACTTGAAAAATTTATTCATGACCTCGGATATATAGATATATAAATATAAAATAGGTATAAAAACCCAAACCTTTACTGGTAATACATCAACATTTTCAAGACTTGCTAAACAGGCCATTTTATGAAGCACAAATGAAGACTTTTCTGCAGAATGCACTCTAGACATTGCATACTGTTGCTAATAGATTTGTGTAAATGGGTGGCGCTTAGAAAACTTTTACTGTTGCCAAATTTTTCGCAACCCCAGCATTGAGCTAAGGGAATCCCATTTAGGAGTGGGAGTCACAGTTTAAGAAGCCCTGCTCTAGAGAACAAATTGTTTTAGTCACAACTTATCAATTAGTTTGAAAAAACAAACATTTTTTCCCCACAACTTACGTCTATAAAAAGATTCATCCAGGTCCTGAATCTTTTTGTAATGTCTGAAAGCAAGTTATAGTAAAGGAATTTTCTTAAGTTTATTACTTGTTTAGGACATAAATAGAACCTGATTGAGTATACAAGTCATACGCAAAATCCAAGCCTAAAAAAAGCAAGTTTTAAAATGGCTCTAAAGCAATCCCCTTCAAAACCTTCAAAAGTTATTAAAACAATGTTAGACTCATAGTAACATGACTATATTTCAGACTATCCTTATCTAATATTGCTTGGGAAAAACAGTGGAGGAAGACTATTGACCTCATCTATTAGTAGTGGATTCCTATCAAACATGGTGAAGCACTGTGGAAAACAGGATGCTGGCTCAAGACTTTGTAATATAACTCATTCTGAACTCTCTGGAGCCTTAAAATGGAACAATATTCAAACTTAGAGCAAAAAGTCTAAAAATCAATTTAGAAAAATGTACCCTTTGAAAATGTAAATTATCATTTTGTCATGCAATAAAACAAGCCAAACAAAACACCAGGAAACATGGGGGACTGAACATATGAAGAATACATCCATGTCATCAAGTTTTCATAAAAGGATACGGAACAACAGCACAATTGGGAATTCGGTTATTTAAAAATTCAGCAGCAACTTCTGCTTTAGGCCGTCCAACATCCTTAGGTCTGTAAAATCAAAAACATATTAAAAACCAAAATCTATTTGCCTGTTGCATTATATACAAAGGTCCAGAGGAGATTACTAGTTATAAACAGGAAAGGCTGCCTATTAGTGATCCTGTCAGAGATCACACTATCCTTTAATCCATTTCAGTCAAGAATAGCACCATATTGTATTTATAGTATCATTGTTTTAAACTATTTTAAACTATTCTTTATATCTACTCTTTACAAACACAAGAAAGTGAAGCCAGATTTATCATATTTAAACCAGATCTGTTGACATCAAAATATCATTTATTTCAATGAGTCTCTACAATGTATAGTAAAGGCATCAGATCTCATTTAGTCTTGGAAGCTAAGCAGGATTGGCCCTACTTAGTTCTTTGACATGAGACCATCATAAGTCTTATTGAAATGAATAGGGGGTTTTGCAGATGACAGCTGCATTTCACACTTCATGGGCAAACAGACAATTTAGAAGTGTGACTTACCGAAACAAAAACTGTCTATTCAAATTAGATACATCAATGGTGTCCATATCAATGACATGAATTTGTCGAAAACCAGACAAAGCCTGCACAGATGAAGAAATCAGGGTTACAAAAAACAAATCAGAAGCTTTTCATTCGTTAATATTTCTGGGAAAACGAATACTTGTCAAAGATTTAGCATTTTTAAAAAAACCCTCCTAGTAAACACTACATCATGGCACTCATCTGCTCCTCCTTTCTTTTAACAGCCTGATGGCCTGCCAAGCAAAGGACTTGGTTTGCAGCCACCTGCTATCTTCATTCTCCTTTTGTCAAATGCCTTTGGATCCCTTGTGGGATCCAAAGAAGATGGCCGGTGGCAGCAAATGGGTGTAGGAATGACATTTTGCGTTTAAGAACACCAGGTCACTCACTCACTGTACTCTGCTTTTCAAGCAAGATGTGTTTTAACCTAATGGGTTTCCTTCTGGGAGATACTGAATTCGCTGCACCCACCACAGTAAAAATTTAAAAATTAGAACCCTCTTCTTTGGCAATTGTACTTGCAATGATGTGAATAATACTTTCTCAACATTTCAGCTACGCCAGTGGTTCTCAGCCTGTGGGTTCCCAGGTGTTTTGGCCTACAACTCCCAGAAATCCCAGCCAGTTTACCAGCTGTTAGGATTTCTGGAAGTTGAAGGCCAAAACATCTGGGGACCCACAGGTTGAGAACCACTGAGCTATGCCCATTGATTCAAAAACTTTGGAGATCCCTGCTCTATACAACATTATCCTACTGATGCATCAGCCCCAAAGTCAAACACAGAATGCTAACATCCATGTTACGTAAGGGATGCTTTTAAAGATAGTACTCTGACAGAGTTTATAAAATGCTTATAGAATGTAACTTGGAGTTCTGCCATTTTTAACTGAGATCATATGTCTTCCCAGTACTCGTTTTCTGTAAGCATATGCTCAAAGAAAACCAAAGGGTCCCAATCCAGGTAAAGAATTATTAATAACTCTGACATTTCGAATTGTATTGTTCCAGTTTCTACTATACATAAGAGAGAGGGTCAATGAAGTCATTTAAAATGTGTGGCTTCCCTCTTAATATGAAACTTACAATTGAATATTGAAACTGTATTCTTAGGTTGGATTTACTCTGAAGAATTTATGCAGTTTGACACCACTTCAACTGCCATAGCTCAAGACTCTGGAGTGCTGAGAATTATAGTTTGTTGAGGGAACACCACACTTTGGCAGAGAAAGCTAAAGATCATGTAAACCTACAACCCCAAGAATTTCAAAGCATTGTGACTTGGCAGTTGAAGTGGTGTCAAACTGCATTAATTCCACACAGTACATGAATCTTTAGAAGCCCAACTGCTTTACACAAAATGTGTTCAAAAGTCATTAGTTTCATCCAGCCATAAGTCACACATTTCCCTAATATGCCGGGCTTCAGAATCGCAGTGGTTGGGGTGCTGCCTGGCTTGAGATGTCAGGTTTTTAAAAGATAGTGTATTGATGTACGTATGATAACACATCTCAATCGCTCAAATCACTACACCACACTGGCTCTCATTTACTTTTGCGCAGTGACAAACTGGAAATATATAAATCACAACATCAATTTTGGAAATAGACAGAAGACTCATAGAACTAAATGAAAAACACCATTGATTCTATAGTGTAGATGTACCCAAGAGCCATTTTCAATAGCTAAGATCCAAAGGTACCTTGTTTGAACAAACCATGAGTTTATCTTATACAAGGCATTACAAAGGCCCAGAAATGACACTCCAGAGGACAGTAAAACACTACTGTCAGTAAGGACATAGTTTTGATTTTATTTTTGGACAAGCTTTCTTTATATAATTGAAATATAGTTTCACATGTAAGAATCACTTTGTAAAAGATCCTAGTATTCTGAAGGTACTGGGACAGTACTATGCACAGAATGCTGGGATTTTTGTATGCTTTTTTTTAGATTGGGAAAGACTGCATAACCAACTATATGTGAAGTACACCCTTTGTTCATTACAAGATTGCACTGGTTTCCATTGGTGGATGTCATCTACTATGTTTCAGTTGCTGAAGCAAATTATTAATATACCTTACACTGAAAGAGAGTATCAAACCCAATAAGTCTGGATAATTTCATATGCATGGAAGAAAAGCATGCAAAATAAGCATCTTCTATGTAAATAGTGCAGGCTTTCAACAAATAAAAATGAAACTGTTACCAGATTTTTCAGAAGTTCACATCCTAATCCTCCTGCTCCAATAACTAGAACTTTACACGTGTTTAACAGAAAGTCAAGGGGCTGTAAGGAACCAAGATAAACAGCTTGTTGAAAACAGGAAAATAGATTCTAATTAAGACAGTGGTACAAACTTACTGCATAACATTATAGTATTTTTAGAAAGTCAAAATCAAAAGAATTCACTGTAAACGAGTCTTTATTTAATCAGTACAGATTAAATCTTTACTGTTGAGTAATAATTTGATTTTTTAAAATATCAAATGTATATAAAACAAATATTAATAAGGACACACTAAACAAAATATGTTCAAAATTTAACATGCATTACTGTTACTTGACTTCTTAATCGACTATTTCATGCAGTGAGAATCTACATAGGTACACTGTTGACCTGCCACTTCTACAGAATAAAGGGAACCGGGGTCCTTCTAATCCTTTTCAGTATAATATAAACTATTCTGAGGGCACTATGATACCAATTCCTGAATGAATGTACATGTGAACATACAGTATCTATTCAATGGAAAGATCTATTGGGTAAAAGGTTTATAACCAGGTACACAGGCATACATTTATAGTCAAGAATTCTTCCTTTTAATGAAGTAACATCTTTTTAAAATTTAATGTTAACCCAAATTAAAAGGACAGATGAAAAGAATAATATGGCCACATAAGTAGGAACAACTGGTATGCGTATGGGGAGTATGTTGAGAGATACCAATCCCAAAGAAACCTGTAAACCCAGTTTACCATTACATATATTGCAACCTTGGGCTCTATCACTCTATCTATCTTCAATCTACTTGGGTATTAACAAATATTACGTATAACACAAAGACAAATAAGCAGTTTGACATCATATTGCTAGTTTACACACTGTTTCATGTTTATTGTTTCACAGTTTAGCTAATTATCATAATTCTCTCTCGCATACATGAAAAATTCAAGAGGCTCCCAGTATCCACAGCTATACTTTAAGCTATCCTTCAATGCGCAAGAACACTGGTCAGTCACAAACAAAAATATTTTGTTAATTTCAGAGATATAGTCTTGGTCATCAATGAATGCAGACAAACAGATATGTACACAACACTGACAACACAATACTAGAGACATTTGTATTGAAAATAACGATTTCTCACTTGAGTGCCTGGCTCGAAATCAGGGTGTGTGAATGGTCCAGATCGCTCGAGGAACTTCTTTACATGGTTCCAGCGACCATCCCAGTCTCCATTGTCCCCACACCCACCATCAACAGCCATTCTGCACAGAACACAGAAATTCAGCTGCAAAAAACCAGTAAGAAAAGAAACACATGCACAAGAACAGTGTTTCTACAAACCTAAAAGATTTCCATTTTACACTGTTGTTGTATTTCTCACACAAACCGTGATGAAAAATATTTTATTCATCTATTTTATTTTATTTACAAGGAATACATGAATTTTGGGGGGCTGCGCTATTATGATAAGGCATTTAATTAACATTTAAGCACTTTAGCAGATGAAGAACCTATTTTCTATTCTTAAACATTGGTATATGGGATAAGTTACCAAGACAGTCTTAGAAAGTGAAAGGATATAGTAACTGCCTTTGGATAATGACATCCTGAAGCTTCAGATTTGTGTTCCTCAGATAAATAGTCTGGGGAACTGTTTCCTACAGAGCGCATTATTGCCACTAACAGAGAGAAAGAAGTTGGTAGTGTAAGCTTTCATAGACTATTGTATATACTCATATATAGGTCAATGTCATGTATAAGCCACATATAAGATTTTGAGGGCAAAATTATGCATTTTGATATGAGCCATGGATACCTTGAGGTTATTCTGTGGAGAGGGGAAAATGTTAGTGCTGCCGTTTCCTCATCTAAACATTCAAAAAGGCCAGAGGAAGAAATAAAGGGAGTTAATGCTTCTTTTAGGTTCTCCCAGGACAGACGTAGCTCCTGCCTTTTGCCACTTTGCTCAGAGATTGTACTTTTTTTTTTTTTAGTAAGAGTTAAGACACAAGAACTTACACCTGCCCCTTAGATAAGTCAATTCAAGTTTTGAGGCTTGACTAAAATTTCTAGATTTATACATGAGTATATAGCAGGCATGGGCAAACTTTGGCCCTCCGGCGATTAGGAATTGTGGGAGTTGAAGTCCCACAATTCAACTGCCAACTTCTGGAGGGCCAAAGTTTGCCCATGTATGGTATATAGGGTAAGTCTACTTTTTCAGGTGCATGAGTTGAATATTTTCAGTTGAGAAAGTGAGATGTAAGCAGTACTTCTAAAAATGAAGTCAGCTATGTCTGGCTTGATATATAAAGTATACAGACAATGAAGGTTGGAGGGAGTTCAAAAAAGCAATTAACTTATTACTGAATTTGATAAGGTTATTGAACACAGGAGATACAGTATGACCCCCCCCCCCAAATCTACAGATTCAATATCCATGATTTCACTTACCCCACGTTCCAACAAATATTCCCCTTGGAAGTGTTTGTGAGCCTATCTAGTCCTCCACTGCAATTCTGTGGTATGCTTCCAGACCAAATATAGTCTAAAGATAGGGTTCATTATTATCCATGCTTTTAGGTATCAATGGAAGCGGGGAGGTGCATTGATACTGTTCATAGAAAACTAATGCAAGTCTTCAGACAAACCCAGAAAAAAAAACTAGAAATTGATGTATTTGGTTTTACAATCAGGGGATACTGTAACTTTTCTGAAGAAATATTTAAATGCAAGACAAATGCCCTTATTAAAAATCCATGACAGAGCCTTATCAGTTGCTACGCATTAACAGTATATTCAGACATTAGCTGGCAAATATCTTAACTTTTTTATATATAACTGGGAATTCCTGCACTGGAAAGTGGCTGAACGTAATTGGTGTAATTCTGTGGTGTCTTGATAAGTGTACAACATGCCTAATGTGATTTTGTACCCAATGCAACATTTATCTTACAACTTTCTAGGGATTTTCTAGGGTTTTTTTTTTAAAGACAATTTCAGCCACTGTATGCAAAAAGGTGAAAGCACCCCTATCTACAACTATCATTAGAATTAATGCAGCCTGATACTACTTTTAATTGCCATGGTTCAATGCTATGTAATCATGCAAGCTGTAGTTTTACAAGGCCTCCAGCATTAATTCCACAGTGCAGAGACACCCAATAGCACGTTGCACTGATGGCTGAAACAGACTTTAGAAATGTTTCTGAAGTTCCAAAACCAGAATCGTCTTAAGCGCAGGCCTTAAGTGGGAACCACCATCTTCCCTTCCTCATACTTCTTTCTCTCTGATAGAATATAAGTGGTAAAACTTTTTCTTCCTGAATGGATGTAAATGAGGTTGTATTAAGTCTTATAGCAGAATTTTGCCCCTTCATTATAAGTTTTTGAGAACACATCCTGTATACTTCGCTTCCTGGTTCCTGTCTATAATGAGTGGACTATAGCATGGCGAGCTAGTAGATCATGCTAATATGGAGGACACGTTTGACGTGACATGGATCGTGTCTAAATAAACCTAGCCTACTTTTTAAATAAATACACTTGTGCCCTTTAGTGATAGCTATTGAAATTGTAGTGCCTTAGATCAGTGCATGCCCTGGTAAGCTCAAGGTTGGACTTCTACAATGTGCTTTACACTGGGTGATCTCTGTACCAAGACTGGAAATTCCAACATGGCAACCAAGTTAGTTGGCACAGAGTTTCTCAAATTGTGATCCTCCAAATGTTTAGGACTTCAACTCCCACAATTCCTAATAGCTGGCTGGGATTTCTGGGAGCTGAAGTCCAAAACACATGGAGGAGCACAGTTTGAGAAACCCTGGGTTAGAAGACAATCTAGGAGTGAGTGTATTATGACTACATTATGGTCCCTCCACTGGTTGTCAATTAGTTTCCAGGTAAAGTACAAAGTGTTGATTTTGACCTTTAAAGCCCTACATGGTTTGGGTCCAGGTTACCTACAGGGTTGCCTTCTTCTGTACAATCCACCCGATAGGACACTTAGGTCCTCTGGATGACACTTACTCCAACCAGCCAAAACCTGACAGGCAACTGTCACCCAGAGGACCTTTTCATCAGTTGCCCCAAGACCATGGAATGGCTTGTTTTAAGAATTTCAACAGGTAGATCAGCTGTCAGAATTCAACCTATATCTTCTAGCAGGCCTACACAGTCAATTTTAAACTGTGAATTTTAACTTTACAATATATTAGTACTGGTGCTTTAATCTTTGTCCTATGCATTTTACTATATGTATTTAATAGGTATTGTGTTTTTATCTGCTTGTGTTTTAATTATGTCATAACCCAAGCTGAGATGAGGCGGGTAACAAATTATTATTATTATTATTATTATTATTATTATTATTAGGAATTTGGAAGAAATCACAAGGCCCTCTGCCACGCAATGGTCAAGAAATCGTACAGACAAAATCCTTTCGAAAAGGAGGGTTTCCCTCTCATTGTGGAACCATGCTCCCTGAATTATTGTTATTATTCAATCAGAGCTGTAATTTTGCCATTCATCTAGGACAGGCACGGGCAAACTTCGGTCCTCCAGGTGTTCTGGACTCACAATTCAAAATATGACAACCATAGGATGAAAGGTTGAATTCACTGTATTGTCGAAGGCTTTAATGGCCAGAATCAATGGATTGTTGTAGGTTTCCTGAAAAACCTACAACTCGTTGAATTCATCGTTGAACATCTTTGGCATTTATTGGCCACAACTCTCAATGCTACTGTTCTTTTACTTTTTTTCTTAACAATATCAAATATACATATTGTTGGCTCTGCTGAATGTGAAGTATTTACCCATTTATATTTACATGGCTGCTTGGGCCAATAATTTAAAGTTCTAGATAAAGACAATTAATACTTCCTATGCATGTTTTAATGTTATTTTTACCTGAACACATGCACTGGCGTTGTCTTTCAAATCACTGCAACATGACAATTCAGTTCCTACCCAAGACACCAATTACAACAGGATCCCTCCAGTTCCAATAAATGTAAGCCAGAATTGCAAATGGTCTCTGCTATGTCAGGGCTATGCTCCAAAACATCCTGGAGATAAGATGCTCAACTCCTACAACTTCCACTACTGGCTTGTTAGGAATTTAAGAAACAATGAATGTTTGGTGTTTCTGTAAACTGAGGTCTATGTTGATGTTTTTATGTTGATATAAGCTATTTGATAGGCTATGTCACCATTTAATTTGAGGCTATAAGTTTTAATTTGATATTGGCTTATTTATTTATTTATTTATTTATTTACTGTATTTGTATACCACCTTTCTCAGCCTTTCGGCGACTCAAGGCAGTTTACAGGCAACAAATAATATACATAATATCAAAATGCACATAAAAAACATTAAATACAATATAAAACCACAACAAAAATAATAAGCAACAGCCAGGAGACAGGCGTTTTTAAAGTATCTTCCTCAGCCCCCTTTCTCTTCTTAGCTGGCTTTGGTCGGGTTATTACTGCATTTGTATCTGTATTTATGATTGTGTCATAGCATTGAATGTTTTCCTTTTGTCTGTTGTTGTTGTTATTGTTATTGTTATTATTATTATTATTATTGAAGACCTATCTCTCTGGCAAGCCTACGTGATCAATTCTGAACTGTGAATTTTAACTTTACAATGTATTAGTCTTGGTGCTTTAATCTTTGTCCTGTGCATTTTTAAGATATGTATTTTAATGGTATTATGTTTTTATCTGTGTGTCTTAATTATGTTGCTAGGCTGTTAGAAATTGCAGGAGTTGAGGTCCAAAACACCTAGAGGGCTGAAGTTTGCCCAGCCTGATGTAGAACCTGGGAAACTGTAGCTGATTGGTTTATTGTGCTGGTGGCCTTCTTTTGGAATTGGTTTTCCTGTAGCTTACTTTAAAGTATGAATCTTTCAGCACATTTATCGCACAGGGTGTGTGTGTGTATAGCTTTGATTTAGATCAGGCATGGGCAAATTTGAGCCCTCTGGGTGTTTTGGACTTCAACTCCCACAATTCTTAACAGCCCCAGGCCCTTTCCTTCCTGACTGTGAGAGTTGTCCAACAGTGGAGATCTCTGCCTCAGAGTGTGTTGGAAGCTTCTTCCTTGGAGGCTTTTAAACAGAGGCTGGATGGCCATCTGCCAGATATACTATGATTGTGCTTTTCCTTCATGGCAGGGAGTTGGACTAGATGGCCCACGAGATCTCTTCCAACTCTATTATTCTACGAGGATTGAATGAAAAGTAATGCCTCCACCTTTGTAACTCAACAGATGGAAGTACTGGTATGCGGCAGGTACTGGCTTGTTCAGTAGACTCTCCTGTACAGTTCCATTTTGGCAGGAAGCCTTAGCATTAAATGGGTGTATTGTTAAAGTGAGAAGTATGGAACCCTGCACAGACATCGGTCAATGCGATTTAAGCAATGTGCAGACATTGAATTCCTGAAAGCAGAAGGTGTCACCCCAAAGGAGATTGATCAGAAATGCAAGCTGTTTATGGTGATTGGGTTGATGCAAGTACTGTGCGTCGTAGGGTGAGTAAGCTTAAAAATTTTGAGGTGACACCTTCTGCTGTCAAGAATTCAATGACTGCATGTTGCTTAAGTCCCATTGACTGACCGTCTGTGCAAGGTTCCATACTTTGCACTTTAACAACACGACCATTCAATGCTAAGGCTTCCCGCCAAAATGGAACTGTACAGGAGAGTCTACTGAACAAGCCAGTACCTGCCACATACCAGTACTGCCATCTGTTGAGGAGTTACAAAGGTGGAGGCATTACTTTTCATTCAACCCTCGTATGATTCTATGACTGAGCTATCATACTTTTGGCTGGAACTCTCTGCCTCAGAGTGTGTTGGAAGCTTCTTCCTTGGAGGCTTTTAAACAGAAGCTYGATGACCATCTGTCAGGGGTACTTTGATTGTGCTTTTCCTGCATGGCAGGGGGTTGGACTAGATGGCCTACAAGAGATCTCCCAACTCTATTATTCTATGATTCTATGACCCAATGGGAAAGATCTGTAACATCTGTTGTTGTTGTGTCCTTAAGTTTGCTCAGGCCTAGCCTAACCAAAGCAGAATTGAGAGGCACCATGTCTTCCCTATTCTAGATACTTCACTCCTTTTGATGCAGACCAAAAGCACATTGGCCTTTTTACTTGCAAGCTTATGCGGCTAAGGGGGGGAAAGAAGAAGCCTGAGGCTGTTAGGAATTGTGGGAATTGAAGTCCAAAACACCTGGAGGGCTGAAATTTGTCCAGGCCTGATCTAGAACCTGAGAAACTGTAGGTGACTAGTTTATTGTGCTGGTGGCCTTCTTTTGGGATTGGTTTTTCTGTAGGTTAGTTTGAAATATGAATCCTTCAGGGTGGTTATTGCTTATGCTGTGGATGTGTGTGTGTGTGTGTGTGTGTGTGTGTGTGTGTAGAGGGAGAGAGAGAGGGAGAGAGAGAGGGAGAGAGGGAGGTTTGCCCAGGCCTGGTCTAACCAAAGCCAAATTGAGAGGAACTATGACTTTCCTATTCCAGATACTTCACTCCTTTTGATGCATACCAAAAGCACATTGGCCTTTTTACCTGCAAGCTTATGCAGCTAAGGGCCATGAGCCAACAATGTGATGTGGCAGCAAAAAACGCCAATGGGATTTTGGCCTGCATCAATAGGAGCATAGTGTCTAGATCTAGGGAAGTCACGCTATCCCTCTATTCCGCCTTGGTGAGACCACACCTGGAATACTGTGTCCAATTCTGGGCACCACAATTGAAGAGAGATGTTGACAAGCTGAAATGTGTCCAGAAGAGAGTGACTAAAATAATCAAGGGTCTGGAGAACAAGCCCTATGAAGAGCGGCTTAAGGAGCTGGGCATGTTTAGCCTGAAGAAGAGAAGGCTAAGAGGACACATGATAGCCATGTATAAATATGTGAGAGGAAGCCACAGGGAGGAGGAAGCAAGCTTGTTTTCTGCTTCCCTGGAGACTAGGACGTGGAACAATGGCTTCAAACTACAAGAAAGGAGACATGAAGAAGAACTGCCTGACTGTGAGAGCCGTTCAGCAGTGGAACTCTCTGCTCCAGAGTGTGGTGAAGGCTCCTTCTTTGGAGATTTTTAAACAGAGGCTAGATGGCCATCTGTCAGGGGTGATTTGAATGCAATATTCCTGCTTCTTGGCAGGGGGTTGGACTGGATGGCTCATGAGGTCTCTTCCAACTCTGACTAGCTGACTAGTTTATTGTGTGGTGACCTGTTTTTTTTACGAACAAGCGTTTGGCTAAATAGTGCAATGAAATACAGTAAGATGGTACAACTGAACATAGGAATTGGTATAAGGATTATGTTTACGGATTCTGATTTGTTTGCTGAGGCGCACGTTTATGATAATGATTGTTTTTGACTTGATATGTTTTGTATAAT